GCGTCAACTGAAGGATCTTCAGGGATGAACTAATGCAACAATAAGGGGGAGCAATTGATCGAAGAGGTATTGGCATACTGTACTCTTTTTCCTTCGTCTATGTTTTGTCCCACTGGTTTCTTGACAAGATCTTAATGATGCAGTTTTAATCTATGCAATACCATTTTCAGATACATAAGAATACTGTACTCTTTTTCCTTCGCTAGGGTTTTGTTCCACTGGGTTTTCCTTAGCAAGGTTTTAACGAGGCATATTCTTAGTATAGTATTGTGGATCCCAAGGGGGAGTGTTATATATATATATACGTTTGTGTGGGATCCACAATGGTTTAAGTCATCTATGATGACACTTTTTGTAATACACCTAATTTTAAAAAGGATATTCCTGGTATTTAATGGTATTTAATTTATTATTTAAGTGCATTTTATTTGATTATGTGTCATTATTTTTTTATTAGGTGCTTAATTGTTTTCTTTTGTGGTGATTTAATTTATTTAAATGATATTTATTTTTAGTTATTTGATTGGAATTACTTGTTAGTGTTTTAATTATTTAATTGGCATTAATGGTTTAAGTGTAATTTGTTTAGTTATTTGATTGGAATTACTTGTTAGTGTTTTAATTATTTAATTGGCATTAATGGTTTAAGTGTAATTGGTTTAATTATTCTATGTGTGTCTTATTTTATGTGTGTCTTATTTGGTTTAATTGGGTTTACTAATTATTATTTTGTTCAATTAGATTATTTGTTAAGTATTTAATGGTGAATAGGGTAATTAGGTAAATACATCTAACTAGGGTTTTAATTACAGTATAAATTAGGGTTTTATATTATAGCCGTCGTAGGTTTCTACGTTAATTGGATGGGCCGGTTAGGATTGTGAGTTGGACTTAAATAAACCTAGGGTTTAGGAAAACTCTATAAGTATAAGGTAGACGTCTGCGTAGGGTTTTTTTTAAACAAAGCACACGTTTTGTGGAAGTGGAGAAGGAAAAACGCAGTTTTTCACATTCTGCCAAGGTTTGATCAAAGCGCCGATCCCGCTTCGTCCGTGGTCCAATCGAGTTGAATTTTGGAGGAAAGGTTCACGACTCAGTGATGCACAATCTGAACGGTGGAGATCAGAGTTTGACCTCGGGAACAGTGATTCGTACTCGTGAACAGTAACTGGGTCGCACAGGTTTTTTTCCATTCTGCCCAGATTTCATCAAACATCCGATCCCGCTTCGTCCGCGGTCTGATCGACCTGAATTTTGGAGGAGAGGTTCACGACTCAGTGACGCACAATCTGAACGGTGGAGATCAGAGTTTGACCTCAGGAACAGTTATTCGTACTCGTGAACAGTAACTGGGTCGCACAGGTTTTTTTTTCCATTCTGCCCAGATTTCATCAAACATCCGATCCGGCGTCGTCCGTGGTCCGATCGAGCTGAAATTTGGAGGATAGGTTCATGACTCAGTGTCGCACAATCTGAACTGTGGAGATCAGATTTTGAGTTCGAGAATAGTGTTTCGTACCCATGAACAGTAACCGGGTTTTGGAACTCGCCGGGATTTTTTAAGAAGACGACGTTGAAACTTTGAACAAAAGTTTCTGAGGCAAGATTCTATCCTTACTCTTTCCCTTAGGCTTCATACTCTTTGCACTCTTAAATGATTCCAGGATTAATGAAGATTAAACCAAACTAAAATGATATCTGTTTTGCTATGAAACTGGTAGTTACAGTAGTGTTGTATGCTTGTTCAACCTAGACTAAGCATGTTTGTGGATGCATTGTGGTTTTGTGGTTCACGTTTTTCCTTACCACTGCTAGTATAAATTATTGGAAGGATGGGTCTAGATGATAGCTATCTTAACTTCTGTAATAGCAACTGTTGGAACTTAAATACTAGGAAGATTTGAGTTTAACACTAGATCGGTTTTGTGGAACACTATAATTTGAGCATGTCTACATACATACTGTGAATATTGTTTTGATGCTTACATTATCACAGTTAGTATCAACTGTGGAGGTTAGGATTTTATGATACATACCCTACATATCTGTATGTCATTTGTAAGGTGTTAAATGGAAGTTTTAATTAATTCTGTCTTTATATCAGACTAAAGGGAACAACTTAAATTGGGCATGTATATGTTGTTGTTGTGACCCTGTTTATCAATGCTTATTTTATCACTGCTAACATTGAATGTTGGATGTTGGAATTTAGTTGATATATACTTGATTTATTGGTATTATTGACTACTGGAGGATTGGAAAGTAGGCACCGGTATGTGACGGTGGCATACTAAGGATGGGTTTGGTTTTTAAAACAATACCATTACCTACCTACTTGGAATAAGGATGGGATTAACTAAAAGTTAAGTCCCGTGGATTTGTATTGTCATGACAACTACTTGTTGAGCAGCAATACCAGGGGTTTTGGATGGATTTTATATATGTACTGTTATGGTGCCTCGGTTCGAGCTTGAGCCTCAGGACCGATGGCTAGGGAGCGTATATGCATCGGGATGTGTAGCTGGCTACGATGGTTGGAGGTGTACCCTGTTTAGGTATAGGTACATATGCCCACTTCGTGTGCGTTTTAGCATGTTACCTCTATTCAGGTTGAGACCGGCCTGTAGTCCAGTGAGAGTCTTTTAGTGTGACTATATATATATTTACGGACTATTAGCTATTATTGAATTGTTTAGGATGTACATGCGTATCGAGCCTCTGTTTGGATTGTAGTAGTATAGAACTTGCGAGTGGGTCTGACCCACTTCTATTTTTCAGGTACACGACAGTTCCAGGCTTAGACGTGTTCGTGCTGAACAGATGTCTTTATTCACTCTTCCGACAATGTAGGGCTCTCTCTATAGTTTTATTTCTGGACGTTTATTACAGTTGTTCTATCTTCCGTTTGGATGTTTAATAGGGGTCCACTAGAGATGGATTCCCAAGTTGTAAACTGATAGAGTTTTGGAGTTTGGGTTTGATTGATTTTAATAATTATAATATTTTGCGGATTCTATTTTTAGTTCCTTCCAGCTTTAATTTCATTTTTTAATTTATTTTGTATTCCGTGTTCATTATAAAATATTAATTGTTTGATATTCCCTCGGGTTTGGGCCTGGGCCTGATCAACCCGTGTTTCGGATCCGAGGGGTATCACACTCTTGGCTTGAAGAGGAAGCTTCATAAGGCTTACAGTGGAAGCTTCATAAGGCTTACAGTGGAAGCTTCATATTAAGGCTTACAGTGGAAGCTTCATTTTGAATCTTACTGAGGAAGCCTCATTTTGAGCCTATAAATAGGTATATATGTATTGATTTGAAAACCATTACAGAAAGCATAAAAATGAATTTCTCTTGATTTCCTTTATCTTGTTTTTTTTATCTCTCTTAATCCTACTATATATATATTATAACATATATATATATATATATATATATATATATGTATTTATTATATCGCAAGGGTACTTTAGTAATTTTGACTATATTAGAGATATGTACTTATTTGCACAAATTGAAAAAATGTAAGGGGGGTTTTATGAACAACATGGGGCTAATTGCACATTTTGTATATAAAGAGGGGGTTTATTGCACTCAACCCATTATTTAATGCTAGTATTTCCCTTCTGCCTTTATTTCTTCCATTATTGCATGTTGTACTTTGTGCTTGTTTATTATTAGGTGCCTCATATCTCCTAATTTATATATACACATCTGACCAACTTATATGTAGAAATTAGGAGGTGTCACACATTGTCTACTTTCTACTTGCAATGTTTCATTTGTTAAACTCCTTATCCAAATAACTAGATTACTGATTACCCAATTAAGATGATCCGTTTTGATAATGCCCTCCGGACATTTGATGATGCAATATGTTGTCAGAATTAATGTTGAACAATCTATTGCTCACATCCATACTCAAAATGATTTAGCTGTCTTTTATTGAAAGACTTCAGTTGATTGGTCAACATTTGCTTATGTGAACAAAATTACCTGTTTATCTTTGGAAACATGTCATATTACTGATTACATCTTTAGTTCTCATACATTTAATTGCTTACCATAAGTTTTCACCATTGCAACTTGTACTCGTCAACAACCAAATATTTCATACTGAGTTATAGTGCCCAAAAACTCAAAACAAAAAACCAAAGCTTCATTTTAGAATTGTAAAATTTCTAGACAAATTGGCAACCGGTTTTGGGGAAAGTTCTGATTTTTTTTTTTTAAGTTCGCAAAAAGCAAAACTAACATTACCAAACGGCTTTTTGTTGCCGTTTTCTAAATTTTGAAAATGACAACAGAAAACCAAAAACCGAAGTGTTGCCAAACAGGGCTAAATGTCCCATTTATACTATCAATCCCTTCCCCATACAAAATATTTTTCTTTACTATGCCATCTCAACAACCAAAGCAGGAGAATACTGCAAATGAAATTAAACAGGCTTATCATCACGTAACCCTATTCAACCAGGGATCATCAGATAGGAAGTGTACAAGCAAATACAGATGAATTTTGTTTTATAGTGAAGAACCTAGGATAAATTTATTTGTAATAATTGTCAACAAAGTGATGTAACTCTATATTCATTTTTTTAAAAAAAATTTCCCTACTTAAGAAACACATACGCAGATACGATACGGATGACACGAGATACAACAAATCTCAAAAAGACAGAATTCGGATAAGGCAGGATACAACAATTATTTTTTTAAAAGAATTAATTTTTTATATACAAAAAAATAATAATAAAACCTTTTTTATTAGTTTCTTGTAATATTATGAATCTAAATGCACTGATTAACATGTTTATAAATACATAAACAAATAAAGTAATTAAACAAGGTGAAGTTCTAACAGAGTAAGAGTAGGAAAAACATAGGAAAAGAAAAACCCCAACTCTAATATTTTTAAAACCAAAAAAATGCAAGGAAAAAAAAAAAAAAAAAAAAAAAAAAAAAGTTGAGCAATTAAGCATATTTTGTAAAGTATCAACAGATAACAACGCCACGCTATCTATATTACCTTTGCAATGTTGTTCTAGGTGGAAAACTGGTGAATGCACTCAATTTTAAGATTTTTAGGAAGTAAATAAATATTAACAACGAGATTTGATAATTCTAGCAACTGATCTTTTTGTACACGCATTTCCTTCTTGTTTCAGTCTTTATGCATATCACAAGACGTCCCCATTGGGGTTACAGTTGAATCATAGAGCCAATGAACGACTCTCACCGTGTCCTGAGCAAGGAGCCTGAGAAATATATACCTGAAAATTTTCATCTTTGTGAGAGATACTGTTCAAATTCTCCCCAAAGAGATTGTATTTGGAAATACCTTGTTCAGTACAGGTTCCAATGCTCTTTTGTTGTTGTTGCCAACAATGTTCTTGTAAAGATAGTGTTGCTTACTCCTTGTTAGTGGATACAGACAAGGGGCCCTTGACTCCTTTGTGTCACTACAACCATTGCCGTGACATCTGCCCATGCAACTTAACCATTCTAGCAATAACCTGCTCGAAAGCATTGATCATCAATTGTCGCGCTTCATCTTCAAGGAGTGTATGCAGGCGCAACTAACAAACCTAAACAAAAGAGGCAAATCCAAAGAGAAAATTATCTACAAGGAAAGAACCCCCGCGGGGCATCTTCAAGGAGTGTATGCAGGAGTAACTAACAAACTTAAACAAAAGAGGCAAATCCAAAATCCAAAGAGAAAATTATCTACAAGGAAAGAACCACCACGGGGGGCGGGGGGTTTTAAAACCTGAAAATACATAATACCATCATGATGTAATAATTTGAACTTCAAAATATTTACATTATTCTCCTCCTTGACTTTGTCCAACAATTGCGATTCAGCCAATAGCCGAGTGTACTCATATTGGAACTCTCCTAATTCACTTTTAAGCCGATTCACCTGTGCAGAAAATATTACAACTTTCATCAAATGATCAAGAAATAATTCTTCTATTTCCCTCCCCCTCCCCACTCTTCTTTTCTAATGAATGTTCAGCAATAATTCATTTGTTCAAGGCTCAAGAATTTATAAAAGGCAGAATTTGTAGGGCACTTTATCAATTTCTCTAAGATCAGTGATTGCATTTGGCCAGCAATCATCAAATTTGTTTTCTAAGCATCCATCTATCGGACAAGTCCTGGGGAAGTTTGCAATAGGTAGAATCCTATATTTTAAAAATGTCATCAACTAATCGTCCTGTGAACAACCATTATTGTGCTCAAATACAAATTTGATGAAAGCTTATAAAAATATATATATTTAATGAATTGAACAAACAAAAATACGGTATCCTAAAGGCCAAGTACAGGCTTATACAATGTACAAATGATGATTATTTGTGTTTCTTCAAGTACCTTGAGATTAAGTTCTTTCTCCGTCTTCTTATATTCCAAGCATCTGGGAAACAAAATAAGTCATATTGTGAACTTTATTAATAAAAATAAAAAAAATTGTAAGAACTCAATAAATATATATATATATAATATTGCCAAATATGGTCTTAGTTCCTCAAAGTCTAGGGCAGAACTGCCTTCAAATTAGAATTCAGTTATAACTGGACTAGAGAGCATGGCAACTACTAAAGCTGTTACAATTGTTATTTTGCTGGGAAGATAGCTAACATTGTCATTTGCTGGAATGTGTAATTTAGCGAAATATAACAAGACTATGAGGTCAAGCAAGCATGAAAATATTCACAAAAAGTTAGATATATACTTACTGTGATCGGAGCTTTTTGTTCTCCTGTATCAGGTTCATCGCCTCTTGATCCAACTCATTTGTAGGAACAGCAAACTACAGACAAAGCATGAAAGCTGTTAGCATTAGACTTCTTTACTAGACTATGACTTCATTATTATAAGGTTGGGGGAAAAGAAAAGAATTTGATCCTCAGAATGCTATCAGAGGGAACATTAAGAGATTCACTGAGATTGTTCTGTCTACAGAAAATCGGATGAGGTATATAACCTAGAACACAGATCTTGAAGCAAAATGTTCTAGTTAATTCTAGGACAACTGCTCTCTTCAAATTTTTATTAATAAGAGTTTACGTTGATGGACCTTCATAGAAAGAGGATGGGCATCATTACTAATTAATCTGTTCCTCTCACCATAGGAATAGCAAAAGGGTGAAGCAGGATTTGCATAACCACACCAAAATAGATTGAGAAAATTCTAGTTAGTTGAATTGAGATTGTCTTATAATTTCACTTGTTCAAAACCATTATTTGTGCACCAGTTAGGTGTCAAGCAGAAGAAATTATCACAATTTTGATATGTCAAGATATATCTATGCAGGAACTAACAAGATGCAAAAACAGTATCATATTAGATTGATATATACTTGAAAACTCTAGTTAACTCTTATCAACACCCATGATCTACTAAAATGATATATACAAACTATATAGTTTGCAAGTAGACAAATAAATACTATAGTTGCAACGACATACTTCTTCTTTTTTCCTGAATTAACAGCATTCTTCAAATGGTGAAAATTTCTGAGTGTGACCAATTCCACTAATAAAAAAAAAGTTTCCATAAGGTAATGATTATGACATCCTACATCGCCAGTTGATGAAGTACATGAATGAACAGGCATGAACAATGCCTGAGCAGTGCTCGGGAACAGTGTTTTTTAGTTTCTAGTTTCTAGTTTCTGTTTTAGGAAAGATTTTCATTGTTTTAATTTCCTGATAGTTTGGTGTTTGTTTTAGGAAAGTTTTCCATTGTTTTAATTTCCTAAATAGTTTATTTATGAAAAAAAAAAAAATCCTAAATAGTTTAGGATTTGCTTAGGCCAATAAATAAATGCTATTGTAATACTTTAGGGATCAGTTATCTCTTTTATCAATATCAGAAAATCGAGAGTTTCTCTCAACCTCTTTTCGTGGATTCAAGTGTTTAAAGAATACGTTACCATTCTTAATTATTTTAATTGCTTTCATTGATCCACTGAGTCAAGTCACGCACTGCAATACATAAATAGTTCTAGTTCAATTAACAGGATGCATGCTCGGTGGGTGGCTAAATTATAGGCTTTTACTTTTACACTCAAGCACAAGTCTGGTCAGCAAAAATAAGGTGGCAGATGCGCTCATTTGTCGTGCTTCTTTACTTATGATTGTGCACTTTCTTCTAGTAGTTCAGGCTGTGAAGGTTTTCTGATTCATGATGGCTTTCTTTTTAAAGAAAATCGCATGTGTATACCTCGGACTTCTGTTCGTGAGCATCTTATCAAAGAGGTACATTGTGGTGGTTTAGGTCGTCATTTGGGGCGTGGTAAGAATATTGCAAAGATGGAGGAGCGTTATTTAAGGCCACAGATTAAACGTGATGCGGGAAACTTTGTGCAGCAGTGTATATTTGTCAGACCGCCGAAGGGCAATCCCAAAGCACCGGTCTATATACTCCTTTACGAGTACCTGCTGCTCCTTGGGAGGATTTATCGATGGATTTTGTGGTTAGACTTCCACGGACTCAGCGAGGTGTGGATTCTGTTATGGTTGTGGTTGATCGGCTCTCCAAAATGGCTCATTTTGTTGCTTGTCGGAAAACTCATGACGCTTTGAATATAGATAACTTGTTCTTTAAAGAGATAGTCCACTTACATGGGGTACTGGAAACGATCACTTCAGACTGGGACAACAAGTTTCTTAGCCACTTTTGGAGTACTTTGTGGAAGCAGTTCAATACTTCTCTACAGTTTAGTAGCACTTGCCACCCCCAAACAGATGGCCAAACATAGGTGACCAACCGTACTTTGGGCAATATGCTTCGTTCTTTTGTGGGGGATCATCCAAAACAGTGGGACTTTCACTTAGCCCCAACAGAGTTTGCATATAATAATATGGTGAATAGGTCTTCAGATCAGTCCCCATTTCAGATTGTTTATCGATGTGTACCATCTCACACTCTTGATCTTGTTCCATTACCAAAGCTGCCAGGAATGAGTGGTGCTGCGAGTAGTATGGCAGACAGTATTATTGATGTTCATGCTGATGCGAAGCAGAAGTTGGAAGAATCCAATGCTAAGTATAAGGCTGCTATAGACAAGCATCGGCGTGAAAAGGTGTTTAAAGTTGGGACTTGGTTATGGTGCACCTTCGGAAAGAAAAGTTTCTGGTAGGAACTTATAATAAGTTTCAGATGAAGAAAATTGGGCCATGTGCGATTTTGAAGTGCATCAATGATAATGCCTTTGTTGACTTGCCACCAGGGATGAAGATTTCTAGCACCTTTAACGTCAGAGATCTAGTTGCATATCATGCGCCAGCACCTCTACCAGTGTTGAACTCGAGGGCGAGTTCTTTTAAAGAAGGGGAGCCTGATGTAGTACATGAATGAACAGGCGTGAACAATGCATTACATCAACAGTGCTCGGGAACAGTGTTTTCTAGTTTCTATTTTCTGTTTCACGAAATTTTTTCATTGTTTTAATTTCCTAATAGTTTGGTGTCTGTTTTAGGAAGGTTTTCCATTGCTTTAATTTCCTAAATAGTTTAGGATTTGCTTAGGCCTATAAATACATGCTATTGTAATACATTAGGGATAACTTTCTCTTTTATCAATATAAAAAAATCGAGAATTTCTCTCAACCTCTTCTTGTGGATTTGAGTGTTTAAAGAATACATTGCTATTCTTAATTATTTTAATTGCTTTCACTGATCCGTTGCGTCACCTGGGGGGAGAGGTTGGATGACACTTATATGTGCAGATGCCTCCCAACTGTGTAGACGTATTTTGAAGAAAACCATGAGCACCGAAAGAACAGTGTGAAAAGTGACAATGGGGCGGGTCGTGAAAGATGGTATCAGAGCCAATCCCAGCCGAAAATGAGAGGAGCGTGCACAAGCCTATGAGGGTTCGGCTAGCAACGACACTAGGCCCAAGAGGGGGTGATTGTAACGTCCCACGTCGTCTGGGAGGAAAGGTTTGATGACACTCGCATTTTGAGGAAAATCGTGAGCAGCGAGTGGACAGTGTTCAAAGCGGACAATATTTACACGGGTTGGGGAGGGTTGTGACAATGTTACCCATAGAACTAAAATACAATACGGAAATGCAATAGTTTGATGCAGAATCCATGCCAAGCAGAATTGAAGTTAAGTAGTGTAACGGGTGGGCGCTTGCCCATTTACCCAAAAACTCAAGCTGTTAGGTAGTGCTGCATATTCACCAATTTATACCCAATCACTTTCCCATCTGAATCCAATGTGGGACAAATGACCCTTGTTACATTCTACCCCACCCAAACTCGCAACGCCCTTGTTGCGGCTTGGGTCACCTGCCTACTCGGGTTGCAAACCCGGACGCCCTCCGGGCATGACGCATGACGTGACACTGGATCAAGGATTAGGTCTGGCTCTAATACCAACTATAACGGGTAGACACTTACCCATTTACCAAAAAAACTTAAGCTGTTGGATAGTGCTGTATACCCACCCATTTATACCCAATCACTTTCCCATCCGAATCCAATATGGGACAAATGACCCTTGTTACAGGTAGTCAATGAACACCACTCTATGGTACAAAATGTTAGGTTGTCAACGAACAAAATGTTCAGAAAATGAGTGTTAACCGAAATTGCAATGCTATGATGAACTAAAATAAGAGAGTTGTTTGAGATGGCCTATGTATCACATAGGCCAACAGATGTGCTGATAGAAATAAACGAGATGAACTAACATGTTGCAAACAACTTCTACTTAATGCTTATAAACCAATATGCCCTCTGTCAAACTAAAGATAACAATGTTTTCTCTACATTAGATACTTAGTCTATGCAAAAGTAGGTGAAAACATCATCATCTGCATCCATAATGCCAATTAAAAGAGCAGCAATATTAGCAATACTGCTATGCTGCTATTTTAGCATCCTCAGGGAAGGAGAACGAGATCTATATCCTTTAATATAATATATTCCATGAAGTTAATTAGAATAATGGATCATTGAATTGAATATACAATTATGAAATTCCCTCAGAAGAAATTATCTCGCTAATGATCCGATTCTATTTTGAAAAAAAAAAAAAAAATCAGAATGAAAAGTTTTCATTATCTAATAGATAGGACAGAGGTCTTCTAAACTTTTGAAATGGGAAGAAATCCTAATATGCAAATGATACGATCTTCAACTCAAGGTCCCGCACTAATAGAAGTTGCTTACTCTCTTAGAAGCGAAGAAAAAGGGCAGGGCTCTTTTCATTGTAATAGTCTCAGGAGATCCATGCCATCTGTCGGAATCAAAAGAAGGTCAAAGGACCATTTGATTCATTAAGGAGCAAAGATCTAACTTTTGAGTCGTACTATAACTTATTTATCCCGGGCTTTAGTATCAATTTGGGTGCACATTGATTTGATTAGAATTGTCGTAAACATTGGTAGCTTGTTTCTGGCTCTCTGCCTTATTTCTTCCAAGTTGTACGGTTGTACCAAACTCTCTGTTGGATGAAACGTCCTCAAATCCCTCCTTGCTGATTTATAAGACGCGTTAAAAAACTGAATGTTCTCCTGTGCCCAATAAATGGTCCATTACTAATGCTAATTCCCATAAAGTGGTACTAATAAATGTCAATTACATGTTTTTCAGAAATTATATGACATTACACTTAAAGCTGATTATCACAGTTTTGTATAATTTTCATGAATAGATTGTAAGCTGGGAATATGACAGTCAATTCCGAGGAAATATTATATGCACTCCTGAAACGGACCTGCAATTCCTGACGGAACCCAGCATTAATTGCAGTGTCCACCATCCCAGTCTTACTTTTGACCTTTTCAGCTTCTACTAAACAACCATGTTCTTTCCTCTTCAATTGTGCTCCTACGCATGTACAAGGCATCATAAATTAGATAGATAAGAAAAGTTGTAACAGCCTAAACGTTGAAATTCATTGCAACATTTACCTTGGGAGTTTCCTTGAGAGTTGATAATTGATTGTCCGGGTCTTCCAACTAAGTAATTAGAGGAAGCAGCTAATGGATGCTGAAGGACCTCACCTGCCGATGCTGCTCTTATACTACCAATAGCAGAGGAACTTCTACTCAACACAACAGGTTGTGTAAAAGTATGTGGTCTGCAATCAGATGACGCCTGAGATGGCAGTGATACCCGAGGTTTTTTCTTAGGCTTATACCCAAAGACTCCACAATGACAATCCCTGCCAAAGTAGACTTATCAGGTATTATGTATACTTACAGGAATTCCATAGACTACTATTTAAAATTATAAGTGTTTGTACACTACATAGGTAAAAATATCATTCCATTTTATTCTTCCAGCCTTTAAAAGAAAAAATTCATAATTCCATGAAAATATAAATATAATCCTTCCATTTTTGTTGTCTAAAGCCTTTAAAGATGACATCATTTTATTTTTTCTCTGCTTTCAAAGAATAAGAAGCAGCATCCTCGAAATGTAGGTAAAAGAAGACAAAATGTGGGGCCAAGAGTTCAAAACTTATTCAGCTACAGCAAGATTTCTGCAAGTAGAGACACACATAAAAATCTGTCATCTGCACTTCAGTTAAACAGATAGCTTACCAGTATTCAAATGTCATTTCCCTCAAACGGCCTTCAAGCTTTTGAAAAACGTTGGTTTTCTCAAAATCTTGTTTATTGTGAGTGGGCTCAATAAAATTTGCTTCCAGAACACCTAAAAGAAACCAAGTCACTCAGCACCTACTCACTGCTATTTAGAGAAAGAAAAAAAGACCAACTTGAAAATAAAAACATCCAAGTGTAATAAGTGCTTCAGAGGCTTCTCACCTACAACCCATCTACCTCTGTTGTCACTGGAGCTTACAACATTCCAATACGGCTGCAAAGGAATACATTAGCACAAGTAAGTAAGAATCAAGTCACTGTCAGCTCATATCAGTGTAACATAACACACGCACAGACACTATATATATTTGAAAAACAAATCTGCCGAAAGCAAAATGAGCAGGGCTGCAATCAAACGGGCCAATCTGATCTAGCCATTTGAGGCCGTGAACAAGCTCATTAACCGGCTCGATTTGAGTTAGTGAAAATGTAACATATGGGTAAACTGCAAAAAAAAAAAAAAAAACAATCAACTTTCACGGATTTGCAAACACCCCGGGTGATGCAACTAACCCCCAGAAGTATCCAAAAGTTGCAATTTACACCAATCCGTAAAAGTACAGTTAACTGTCCCTGTAAACATCCTTTTCATTTGGTTTACTTCATCTAAGATCACATTCCAAGTGTGAAAGCCTATGTAACTTGGACTAGGATACGTGTATTGGGTACGTGTCGGATGTGTCAAATCTTCAAATAGAAGGTCATATGTATACTTCTAAATATTCTTATTATTTAATAGTTTTATTTTATTTCTAGAGTAAAATAATGTCTTTATGTAACATAGTGTCTCATATAAGCATTTCATTCATTTTGAAGCAATAATATAATAAAAATGAATTATTGCATGTGTCTTTTAGGTGCATGTCCAACCAAATGTGTCAGACATATATCCCAAATCCATGTCCAATTATTGTGTGTTCGACAAAGGTAATTCACCTACTTTTGAAGAGTCCATATAACATAGATGAAAACAAAATACCAGTTCTTGAAAGTTTAAGTAAGTTGTTGGTTAAGCTATTATCAAGATATTAACTTTGTTAAATCAGGAAATATATTTCTCTTTTTTACCAAGTATTCATCCTCCACCAGATCGTCTCTAGCAAAACAGTGTCAGAACAGACCTCTGCGACATCATTTCTCCCTAGTTACTTTACCCCTCAACCCCACCCCAAATTACTATGAAAATCAATTAACTTGAAAAAAAAACCTAACAAAATAAGAGAGAAAATAGAACCTTTATATATATATGTATGTATGTATGTATGTATGTACATTGATTGTTAATTCTGGGGATTTTCTGTTTCTTTTGCATTTTTTCTTTTTAAAACCAACTAAATCATGGCCGAAGAACAATTTCTAACAATAACAATTTGTTTATCTAATTGAGCTACTAAGCCAAGCTCAAACTTTTTCAATCATGGCCGAACCGAGCTCGAACACTCGTGTAGAACCTTGAACAAACCCCTACTGGCTCATTTACATCCCTAGGCTGTATAGCTTAGGTGGTATATTGGTGTTTCCTGCTCCTTACGCAAGATGTGATTCCCCTCACCCACCCCCCTCTTCCATGTTGTGTAAGCATGCCATTGGACCAAATCCAAAAATCTAATAAACTAAACACTTGGTTTTTATTTTGTGCCCAGAGGAACATTTTAAAAGGACCTTGCTGTGGAAAGAAGAACAGTTAGAATTTCAGAGCATAGGGTTCGGCTCACAAAGTCTCTCATTTTTATAGGATCCAGGAAAAGGATAAATGAGTTCCTTTATGGTTCGGAAAATTTGGAATCCTAACCGAATAGAATAGTTTGGTCCACATTTTGAGTTAGACTCACTGGGTTATTTTCCCCGAATTTGATTACGTTTCCATATCACCAACAGTCAACATTAATCAAATCACTTCTTGCACTTCTACTTCCGAAAAACAGGAGCACGAAATTTGATATAGGAATTTGATGCCAAACCACCAGAGTAAAACATAATGAGTCAAATTAATCACCAATATTAAACGATTCTTGTGGTAAACATTGAAGCCATGTAAATTGACACGTGGAGCTTCCTTCAGGAATCCTATTGTTGTTACAACTGTACCCTGCATGTTTAGACCAAAAATCAGCAATGTGAATGATGACTTGGAGCAAAATGCAAAGCTGTGGATATAATTAACATCAAGGGGCCACATACCAAGCCAAATATGCATACGCACAAGGTTAGTCAGCATCGAGTGATACATGAAGAAGGATAAAAAAAAAAGGTTTATACACACACACACAGAGTACTGTCACACAGAAAGCATGTCACTTGAAACAAAGTCCTAACCCACTCAGCACTTGGACTACTCATAAGTTTTATTATTTTATCCTACCCTGAAAAAAACCTTGATATCTATCAACTTTTTATAACTTTCAAATTACCTATTATATTTTTTTGCTTCATAATGCATAGAGTGAATGCAGCAAAAATGAGAATGTTGGGATGGATGTATGGCAAGACAAGAAAAAATAGAATTAGAAATGAACACAGTCCTGAGATAATTGACGTAGCAACAGTTGGAGATAAAATGAGAAAAATTGATTAAGATGGTTTGGACATATGTAAAGAAGACCACTGAGTGCAACAGCGGGAAGAGCAACATGGTCCACATTGAGGGTAATGCAAGTAGAAAGGGAAGTCCACAAAATAAAATGTGTATAGTAAGAAAGATATGATAAGATGTGGTTTGACTGAGGCTATGACTTTATATAGAGAAAAATGGAAAAAGATCATTCGTGTAGCCGGCCCCAAGTAATTGGGAAAAGGCTTTCTTGAGTTGCGCATTCTTTCACTTTACAAGTTCATTCATTGTTATGTTTGAACAAATTAAGGCAGCTGACCTCTTCACTGTGGACCAAATTCAATTCAGACTCATGTTTAAAACAAGAAAACAATGATCAAACTTCTGGACATCTTCTGCATGTGAGAGGATAATGTGACCATAAAATTTAACATCAACACAACACTCATTTAAAAGTGTGTGCTGCTCTAGATATCAGTATAGATCAGACAAGTTAATATCGTAAATATAATTGTTGAAAAGAGTTGACAATTCACATGAAATGCTAGGATGACAGTGGAATCGTAAGTTCAAAAACTAAAATGCTTTCCTGTAAAAATAAAGTTTATGTCCAACCAAAAAAGGAGTTTGTGGTAATTAACTACAACCTCCACGCATCGACCATTTTGAGGTCTATACAAGATGAAATCTGGAAATTTGAGATCATTGGCAAGATTATGATACTCAACAACTCGCCCACGCAATATCATCCGGAAACTTTCAGGTATTCGCAAATACAAGATGGACAAGTATGCCTGTGGATTGTAGCATAACAAAATTTAGCAAATGTTTACTAAATATATAATATAAGTATAAATTCTAAAAATTATACTTACCCGGAGAGAAAAACGATGTTGATTAGCAAGGTGCTGTTCACTTATGGCCATTGACTTACGTCTCTCAATACTTTCGGCATCACGTCTTATACGAATATCCTGCAACAGTTGTGTCACGAGAAGCTACCTAATGGGAAATGATTGCAGAATGTATTTCAAGAAGAAAAATAAATAGAAAGGGAATGAAACTAACCTCAGTATATGAGTCAAAATCTAGCTCAATAATACCCTCATCATTTAACCATAAATTGTAGATGATGATCTTTGTGCCACGGACCCCAATGTCATCAAACTGCCAACCAAATTGACGAACCAGTGAAATAAAGCAAAAGTATTACCCAAAACTACTGATAGACACAACACACAGACACACATCATGTGTTACTAATAGTATGTTTGATTGGAGGGAAGGATTCAGGGGGGATGGATGAGAGAAGGGATGGATAAACATTTTCGTGTTTGGTTGGAGGGAAGGGAAGAGAGGGAGGAAACAAGGAGGGATGCTTCATCCCTCCTTCCTTTATGTTTTTCTATCCGCCCACTTTTGGAGGAAGAGAGGAGAGAAAGAAAGCATAACTATCTATAAATTTGTAATTTACAGTTTTAACCTTTTCAAAAAAAATTAAATAAATATCTACCTTTTAGAATTTTATATAAAAGGGTGTATTGGTAAAAAGAATATAAAAACTCTCCTCCTTTCCTTCCAACCAAACAAGAAAAAAGTATCTCCATTCATCATTTCTACTATCCATTCCATTCAACCAAACAAAAAAATGGAAAGACATCGATACCTCATCCATCCCCCCCCTACCACTTCCATTCATTTTTCCATCCCTCCAACCAAACAAAGCATAAAAGATCATTTGGTAACATGAAACAGAACAAATTTGAATGTAACCAAAATAAACCTCATAAATATTAGCAGAATGATAATCTGCAAAGGATAAAATCACAGAAAAACAAAACCGTGACTGCTTACTTGCTTCAGAAGCTCTGCTTCAGTTGAATATGGAGACCACTGCAACAGCATGGAAAGATTAGACATAAAATGTTCGTTACCATAGCAATATAAAGTATCCATTGTGCCAGTTGATGTGTTGAACTCATAATCTACCTGCAATATGCACGAGATACCGAGAAATTAAACTATGTATGAAAAATAAGATCAATTTCAATTTAGAATATCAAGAAAAAAACCAATAAGTGGGAACAGCCTACAAAACAGAAAACCACAACATAATGGCAGCGGTTTTACAACCTAAGGTTCACCCAGCCTCAACAAAGTAATATGGGTTCAAAAAAAATTATAAGTCCATCCTCTCTTCGGATAGATTGTCAAAATATAGGCCACAACTGGAAAAAATTATGTCATGTGCAGCAATTAAATCAAGATGTCAAATTTGACCATGGACATTTGGGAGGAGGAATAAGGTCATATATAGCGTGCGCACTAAGCAATGCATGCATATACAGTCCAGTGGTAAATTGGAATTGCTATATTAAAAACTAAATGACATTTGCCAATTAATGCTATACATTTCCAAACATCAAAGTCATAACTGACACAGCTTGTGCTGTTAGAGCAAATTAGCGTAAACAGAAACAAAATAATCAATGGAAATATACACACCCAAATAGAATAGCAGGGCAGGAAAATGTGCACTCACCATAGGAACTACAATTCTGTCATGGCCTGTTTGTGTCAAAAATGTGTAAGATAAAAGACCGATGCTTTGAGTTAATTTCCTGTTCATGAGATAATATATAAGGACACGTAATATTTAAATGGAAAACAATATGACAAGGTACACTAATTTATTAGGACAGAAAATAGGATTCACTTTATCTATGCAAGAAAATCAGTTTCAATTAACATGTTTTTTACAGGAACTGTTAGAAAAGTCTTGAAGGATCAAGTTAGCAAAGAACGTATAAAAAAAATAAAAAATAAAATAAAAGGGAAAAAAGTTAATCAAATATAAAAAGGAAATCATCTTAGCATTCATGCTAACCCAATTTCACAACTCGTGAAACAGATCAAATATACAAAACCATGATACACTCAGTTGTTTTCTCTACTAAAAGAAACAGATCTAAGAAAAGATAACGCTTATATAAAACGACCTTTCTTAAACGATTTGTTGTCCCTGTTCTTTAAAAGAAGGAATAGGAGCCATAAAGCATATTTTTCTTGAGACATAAGATCCAGAGAAGTTCAAATTCTCTGGAGTTCAACAAAGATTTCAATATTTAAGAGTTACACTTCACTATCAGTGGGTATCTTCATGTATCTGCGAGGAGGGGTCATCTCCACATGTCTGTGAGGTGGCAGTCCGCATGATGCTTTTATATTTATTTGTAAGTGGCAGTCCACATGATACTTTCTGATGCAATGTGCCACATGGCACCAGTACAACAATCAGAATGTCACTCTCCAAATAGACAATTCTATATTCTTCAGTTGGCACCTGGATATACTTAAAATCATGACAAGTGTCACATCTCCTTGCCTAGAACTCTGATTTTGACAAACAAGCAAGAGTATGGTCTATCTTAGCCATTACACACTCACCGGCCATGCAAATGGCAATCCAGGGCTGGCTTGCAGACCACATTCTTTGCTAATTTACCATGTGGTCAGTTCTATGTTCTTCAGTTGACACCATAATGTGATGTAGGACAGTTTTATCATACTTAGTAATTTTTATTATTTAGATTTCTTAATTATTTTATTTTTATATTTTTTTATAGGAAGTGTAGTTTTATTTAATTTCTTTGAGGAATTGTTTTCCTTTTGCTAATAGGTTTCTTTATGTTTTAGTTTTCTTTTATTATAAATATGTTTACTGCTAAGTGCAGAATTAACTTTTATTCATTCAATTATCAATACAAATATCAGATTTCTCTGAAATTATCCTTTGTTTTGTGGATTCAAAACACCCACCTTGTGGATTCAAGGTAACCTGTTCCTCGTGAATAGATTTATCGCTTCCGCTTACGTCAGTTGGTATTAGAGCCTTGTCTTTTCCTGATCTGATGGTAGGTGATCGTTTTCGTGGCAACCTCGCTGGCAACGAATATCAATAGAGAGTGGCTCCTTTTACGGCTGAATTTCAAGACTGTCAACGTAACCTAGCAAACGTTGCAAGATATTCAAGCAATGCTTGCTAGGCTTAAGTTGGGTCTAGAGCAAAACCACGATAACAATAGGTTGCGCAACAATGTAGATCGTGTTCATCCTGTTCGTAATCGTAATCCCTTCCCTCCGCATAGTTAGTCAGCCTGAGGAAAAGGTGTTTGGGGATCATAGAGACGCATGAAGATATAATGATTATGGGGATTATGATTCTAGGAATTTTCCCCCTAGAAGTTTTGATGGTCTCTTTCATGTTGAAGATTTTCTAGACTGGTTAGAAGATTTTGAGGAATTCTTTGATTACATAGGGATTCCAAAGGATAGGAAGGTGGCACTCGTCGCATACAAATTGAAGGGAAAAGCTTCTATTTGGTGGGATCAATTGCAGGTTACTCGTGCACAACAAAGAAAAGCACCGATACGATCTTGGTTGAAGATGAAACGTCTTTTAAGAGCCGAGTTTCTTCCACTAAATTATGAGGAGTATGAGGAGATCCAATTTCAGCCGAGGTGTACGAAGGCTCAGCCCTATACCAATTTATCGTTGTTTTCGAAGCCTCGACCTCCTCCTACAATGGTCAAGTTTACATAAGAAAAAAATTGTGTCCAAAACTCGGAATTGGAGACGAATTGCTTTGAAGAGAAAAAAATTATTAAAATGAATGAAGTTGCTACTTTTGTACAACCTAAAAAGGAAAAAATTAAATTATTGTTGCTGATCTTGCAAAGAAAGCCGATAGTGCTAGTAATTCTGCTAGGCCAATATTTGCTGAAGATGGCATGTCAACTGGTGTAGACGATGTGGATTTGCAAAGTACTAATGATGTGGCAATTGGTCATGTTATAGCTGACTTGAAAGGCACACTAGTGTTGGTTAGTGCACAAGAGGAAATTACAGAAGTAACCATTATTTCAGCTGAAGGGAAGAGCCAATTTGGAGAAGAAAATCTTGATCACCACATGCATATTAGATTGAAAAGCGTGCCCAGTATTGACCAGCCCATAACAGGTTATATTTCAATGGGATTTCAATACCTATCAAAATTCATTCACTTGCAGTGTTTTAACAATTATGTGGAAATTCATGGACACGTAATGGGTTTCAACTGTGGACACAAAATTGGGTGTTTGATTTCCCATGCAATTAGCCAACAGCAACAATTACATCTAATTCTAATTTGAATTTTCCGAATTTGGAGTCTGGTGAAGTGGGTCAGAAGAATTTATTTGTTATCATTCCTGGTGAAGTTGGGTATAGTCAATCTTTGCAAAGACTTTTTGTGTCACTTAATTTCTTTCTTTTTGAGTTGCCAATGAAAATTAGAAATCTGTCACAATTGGTGTTCTTTTGGAATTGGACAGTGAAAAAACAAGTTTATGAAGAATCAAAGTCATGCACTCAATGGTATGAAATCTTATTCATATTAATATATGATGAGTCGCAGCGAAACTCGAGGACGAGTTTTTTTTGAAGTGGAGGAGACTGATGTAGGACAGTTTTATCATACAGTAATATGAATAAGATTTCATGCATGTGTTTCCTAGACCTCCAACTTTGACAAACAGGCCAGAGCAAGGTCTATCTCAGGCATCACACACTCAACAACCATGCAGATGGCTATCCAAGACTGGCTTGCACAATGCACTCCTTGGCTGCATGATGGCATGTCTATATATATACATATATGGTTCAACTATGCACCCTCTGACAGCACAGTTAATTTCTCCAAAGGATCCTGATCATCTTGCTCTATACATCAAAACTTACATCAGTGCCCCTTACACCTAGCAACTGTTTGGTTTGGGAACAGGGCTAAGTAACTCCTCAAATTCAGTACATGAAATCAACTTGGGGTAGTTCCATAGTACACTAAGGATTCTTGAAATTGTAATTTCGAGGCTAAAATCTGGGGCTCATCAAAGTGAGTCCCTATCAAACCCTACACCTCAGCCTATCTAGAGAGAGAGAGAGAGAGACAGCATGACTTCAAAGAACATCCCCTCATGAAGCAAGTGTCTCAAAGGACCACATCATGCACATGCACCATCTTTCCTCCATGTGCACCTTGTCCTATAAATAAGGGGGCGCATAATTTTCAACCATCAAAAGCTTAAAACATATCACAATGACACAATCTAAAACCTTTTCTAAACTAGAATGAGTCTTAGGAGGGCGATGGTGACCTCAAAATTCCTTCGTTATCCTTGTTACTACCACTCTTTTTTTCTTAAGAGTTACAACCAACTCAGTTTCCACCCTAACCCAATCAACTGGGACCTCTATTTTTTTCCATGTAAAAGAAGAAGTTTTGGGTTTTAGCTTACTCAAACCAAGAGCCAAGATCTATATTTATATACAAGAATAGGGTACAAAGAAAGGAAACGAAATCAAAGAAAGACAAAAAAATGTGCCAAAATCTACGTGATCCCATGGGGATCTTATCTACGTGAACCCATAATTATAGGGATCTTACATAAAACACCTAATAAAAGGCTAAAAACGGCTAATAAAAATAAAAATAATAATAATAAAGATATTTCAACACTCTCCCTCAAGCTGGAGTGAAGATATCAATCAAGCCCAGCTTGGTAAACGAGGAATGAAGCAAAGATGGACCAACAGATTGGGTGAACACATCGACCGACTGATTAATGGAACGAACAAAGCACAGCTTGATAATTCCCGAACGAGCCTTCTCTCTGATAAAATGAATGTCCACCTCTATATGTTTAGTCCTCTCGTGAAGAACAGAATCTGAAGCAAGCATGATGGTTAACTTATTATCACAAAACAAGTCTAAGGACTGTTTTTCACCTAGCCCTAGGTCCTCCAAGAAACATCGAAGCCAGAGAATCTCACAAGTATCCTGAGCCATGGCACGATACTCAGCCTCTGCTGAAGATCTCGAAATTACAGGTTGTTTCTTACTTTTCCAGGATATAAGATGATCTCTATAGAAAATACAGAAGCCAGATACGGAACGACAGCATAGTCTGCATCACTGAAACAGGATAGCCCAACCTGCTTGCTAGAAAAATAGAATAATCCAAGTGCAAGACAGGACTTAAAATATCGAAGAATATGATATACCTCTTCCATATGAGTTGTACGAGGAGCATGCATAAACTAACTCACAACACTAACCGCAAAAGCCAAATCAGGACGAGTGTTGGTAAGATAAATCAATCTTCCTACCAAGCGCTGATATTGCGAGGGATCAGAAATGAGATTTCCGGACTGAGCCGAGATCTTTGGATTAGAATCCATAGGAGCGGAAGCAGGTCTACACCCAAGCATAGCCGTGTCTCGAAGAAGATTCAAGACATACTTCCTTTACGATAAGGAGATACCCTGCTTAGATATAGCAACCTCAATTCCTAAGAAATATCTGAGTTGCCCAAGGTCTTTCACATCAAAAGCTTTAGCCAATTGAAGCTTTACTTGAACAATCCCAAGGATGTCATTTCCAGTAATGATGATATCATCAACATAGACAAGCAGAATAATACATCAACCAGTGGAGGAACGGTGGATAAAACATGTATGAATGGCATCTAACAAACTCCATGGATAGAATTATATCACTGAAGCAGCTGAACCAAGCTCTGGGAGATTGTTTTAATCCATACAAAGACTTCCGCAATCGACAGACCTTTCCGGCATGCTCCCCTTCAGCCTAAAACCGGGTGGAGGATCCATGTAAATAGTCTCAAGAAGATCACCGTTAAGGAAAGCATTCTTCGTATCAAGTTGATGAAGAGACCAATTGTGCGAGGCAGCCAGGGAGACGAGCAAACAAATTGAGTTCAATTTAGCCACTGGAGCAAAGGTGTCATTAAAGTCTTTACCAAGAATCTAAGTAAACCTTTGGCCACCAAATGGGCTTTATAACGATCAATAGAGCCATCAGCCAGATATTTAACACTAAATACCCATTTGTAACCAACAGTTTTTTCACCAGGAAGGAGAGATACAAGCTCCTATGTTTCATTATGCTGTAAAACATCCATTTCTAACTATGAAAAAAAGAAAAAAAAAAAAAAAAAAAAGAAAAAAAAAAGCATCCATTTCTACCTTCATAGTAGACATCCAATTGGGATTCCGAAGAGCCTCAGACAACTTTCTGGGAATGGAAATAGAATCAAGTTTGCCTAGAAAGGCTTGGTAAGACCCTGAAAGACCATCATAAGAGATATACTACGAAATAGGATGATCAATACTACAAGCGAATCCAAATCGAGCAGGGGGTTTGCGGTACCGAGTGGGATACCAAGACTCAGGAATAGGAACAAGGTCAGGGCAATGTAAAGGAGAGAGAGATGTACCTGAACCTGACTTTGTGGAGGATGAAGGCAGTAGAGGCGGAGCACGAGGGCGACGTGAATAGACCTGCAAAGGGGGTGAGGAAACCATAAGAGAAGGCTCTTATTGAAAAATAGGAACAGGATGAAGAAGAGGAGAGAGAAGCCTCTTGATTGAGAGTAAAAGTTTCCTGCAAGATAGTGTTACAACCATAAAAGGGGTATGCTCATAAAAGGTGGTGACATCAAGAGAGTGATACATGTGTTTGTGTACTAGATCTTAACACCGGTAACCTTTTGATATGGAAGAGTATCTTAAAAAGATACATTTAATGGCCTTGTCATCAAGTTTAGTACGAGAAGGGCTACGATTCTGAACAAAACATGTACATCCAAACACCCGAGGCATGATGGAAAAGAGTAATATCAGGTTGAATCACTTGTAAGGGGGCCTTACCACTTAAGACTCTACTGGGGGTACGATTAATGAGAAAAGTAGTTGTAAGAACCGCCATGTGCCAGTATGACTTTGGCACATTTATACCAATTAAAAGACATCGAACAACTAACATTAGTTGGCGGTTTTTACGCTTTGCAACACCATTTTGTTCTGGGGTATATGGGCAAGTAAGCTAATGAAGAATACCCTGTTGGTTAAGTTGAGACCAAAACTCATTGGAAACATATTCACGACCATTGTCAAACCTAAAATTCCAAACAACAGTTTTATATTTAGTTTTGATTATTTGGAGGAATTGAGTGAACAAGGGACAAACATCAGATTTCTTTTTAAGTAAATATACCCATGTGCAACTGGAATAATCATCAATGAATGTGACATAATAACGATGACCCGAAAAAGCGACCCCACACATCAGAATGTATGAGATCAAACATATTAGGTGCACGATGCATATGAGAAATGTAACTGGTTCTAGTATGTTTAGAAAGCTCACAAATCTCACATTGAAACTTATCATCCTTACAAGCCGTTACTAATGAAGGGAAAAGTAGACATAAATACTGAAAGTTTCCATGCCCAAGGTGAGTATGCCATAAACTTTCTGAAAAGAAAAATCATAAGACCTGGAAACTGGAAGAACAGAGGCTTGAAGGCTTGAAGCAAGTGGAGGAGGTGTCAGTGGAGGATCCCTAAAGTAGTAGAGGCCATCGTGCTTATATCCCCTGCCAAAAATTTTCTTCGAACACAGGTCCTTTAAAACACAATAATGAGGAAAGAAAATCACTGCACAGTTTAGTGATTTGGCAAGTTTGCTAACAAATAGAAGATTAAATGCAAAGTTAGGAACATAAAGAACAGATGGCAAAATAATATCAGGGGATAGATGAACATTTCCTTTGCTACGAATAATGGTGGTTGACCAATCAGCTAGACTAACCTGATTAACAGGGTAACAGGAGTAGAAAATAATAACAATTCACCAATCATTGGCTCCGAAATCCAGAACCCAAGTAGGTTTTCCCATTTTAACATGACAAGCAGAAGGAGTACCTGTAGCTATAGTAGTCATGGGAGTAGAAGAGTCGGCCCTGGTAGATAAGGCTCCGAACTGCTCCTGAAGCTACCAATCTGGGACTGTAACTGTTTGAAGTCTTGAAAAGATTGTCTAGGAGGAGTTGAAGCAGGAGGGACAACAATTTGTGAAGTATACCCACCAATAGTATTGGCTACTGCGGCAATGCGGCCACGGCCCGAAGATAAAGTGTCCTTTTGGCCACTAGAATTAGTCATAGTACCAAAATAAGGCTGGTCCACACGTCGAAGAAGGAGGAAAGAAAAAAAAAAAAAAAGCTGGAAAAATCAGCGCTTTCCTCCAAATATGTTGTCGAACAAACACCGACAGCCCACAAAGAAAGAAAAAAAACACCAGAAGGACCCTTAGATCATATAAAAAATAAAAATAAAAAATAAAAAACACTAAGGGAATTCTCTGAAAAAAGGAGTCAAAAACAGAGGGTTACCCAAGGGGTCCGGCGCAAGGGCTGGGAGGAGATGGAGGTACGCCAGAGGTGAGGGAAAATGGAGAGAAGGAGAGAGAAGGTGGCGGCGTTGGGGAGGAAGATGGGGAGGTGAAGGTTTTTGTGTTGCTCTGATACCAAAAAAGAAGTTTTGGGTTTTGGCTTACTCAAACCGAAAGCCAAGATCTATATTTATATACAAGAATAGGTTACAAAGAAAGGAAACCAAATCAAAGAAAAATAGAAAATATGCCAAAATCTACGTGATCCCATGATAATAGGATCTTATCTACGAGATCCCATGATTACGGGGATAGGGATCTTATATAAACACCAAATAAAAAGCTAAAAACAGCTAATAAAAATAATAATAATAATAAAGATATTTCAACACGTCATACTTACATCACCGCTAGAACCCACTTGATCTAAATGTGCTAGCGAATTGCCTTTTTCATCTTCCTTCACTCCAAATCTTAAATAATTTTACATCCATTTTTATTGGTTAAAAAAAATGGATTCTTAAGTAAAAATGGAGGTGATACCACCTGTCTGTATAGTTAGATATTTTGGATTGTAGATTGTAGCTATTAATGTACTAGTATGGAGGAATGATTTGATCCAAGTTGAAGGTGTCAAAAGAATAAGAGGAATGCCAAATGGTTGAAGCTGTGAGAGAGGACACGATTGCCTAATTTCTCGTTGCTTTCAGCTTGAGTTGCAGAATATTTAGTTTGACTTTTGTAATGAGTAATCCATACATAATTGAAAAATCATATCCATCCCAACCAACTACCTATTCTAGAAAGATCCCACTTTTGGAGACATAAATTGGAAATCTAAAATGAAACATGCTAAAGTTAAGAGGATTAAAAGTTAGTTGACAGCTTTAGGGCTTGAAAATATTGACTTTTAACCTAAAAGGCATTTTGGAGGGGGTTAGGGGTTAAAAGACCTATTTACTTACTGTCAAACTCCAACATCATATCATGTAGGTGGGCATTGTATGATTTATTTTTTCATTTCAAATGTCAGACTAGAAATTCATCTAGATCATGAAAAATAAATGTTTCACAACAAAAATCAACTCAAACTAACCAACACAGTGTATCAATCCCTTAAAATCTCTTAACCAACCTAAATGAACATACACAAAATCACTTGAAATAAATTTGCAATGATATAAATATACATAAACACACAAAAGCACATACAATCACACACATATATAGCAAATAAATAAATAAATAAAATACCACTATGGTATAATAGACGCTAAAGATAAAAGCGATTGGGCAAGGCTTCATGAAACACTGGCAAGGCTTCATGAAACACACGGGCAAAACAGTAAGAATCAAAATTTAACCGTACAAGAAAATAAGTGACTTTACTGTCAAATGCAAACCTGTTCACCAGGTGGCGGCTGAAGACAATAGCATCTGCCCCCAATCTCATAGAACTCGTCTTGAAGCCATTCCCATCTGAAAGGCCACAAGTCAACCAATTAATAGCAAAATAGAAAACAAGATAAACTGCAAAATGATTGCATATCACCCTTACACTTTCCAATAGCTGATTTTGACTTCTTATCTGAAAATCCAAAACTCATACAACGCCTAATTGCTTCTGGATCCATTCCGCTACCGTCATCTAATTTTGAATCATAAGTTTTATAATCACAATATAACAAATATAGATACAATTCTAATTATGGAAGTATCAATCAGGAAAACTCCAATATCATATAAAAAACCATCCTCTAGAACTGATGGCATAATGGAAATGAAGTACCTTGGATTAACAATGCCGGACTTCCATTCCTTGGATTTGTGGTTTTATCTACAATGACAAAGGTGGCCCCATTTTGTACCTGCCCAATAGATGAACATGGAATGTAAAACATGAAGAAGTTACCATACATTATAATGAAATGAACAGGGTATCGCATGCACTACATTGATTAACCTTCAAGTCTACATTAACCTTCACAGTGGCCCCTATACAGGCTTAACAATCCAAGTCATTTTGACATAATTTTTTTTTTTTTAATTAAAAACTAACAGACAACTACAGGCATTAACACATGCTATGCAAATGCTCCTTACCTTATTTAGTTATCCTTCATCACTTACCTCTTTGTTTTAATAAGCAGAGGTTCTTTTAACTGGACCGATGGGTTAGCAAGAAGTTGAATTATTTGAAATGATTATACCTTTATCTCATTTAACATAGTTCAAGTGTTTTGCAAATGCATTTAGGGGCAATTTCTGGAAAATTTGTGCGCACACTATGAACCTCACTTCCCTTATGATGCATTAGAAGTTTGAAGTAATCGCAGCATTATCTTTTGTTAAAACTAGGAAGCCAACAGGGTGAAGCAAAAAAGCATAACAGGCTTCCAGAATTCCTGCAGGCACCAAAAAAGTACACTAGTTTAGTGTTCTTTGATGATTTTTAAATCATTCAAGTGGATCCATTTCGTTTTGACAACTGAAGAGATATGAAATGAACATTATTCTTTCCGACTCTGCCACCTCCTTTTTCGTCACTACTATTTAGATCAACCTTAACAACCTCTCAAGGGCTTGCAAATTCTGATGAATCATAAATGCCATTATGGAAATGTAATCCATGCTACTAGCCTACTAGCCTAAAGAACTAATGTCAACCACCAATTTTGCTTTCATCCGCTTTGGAGAAAAAAAGTTAACCATTAAGAAAAAGTAAAGAAATAATAAAATGAGAAAATAGTGCCTGGAGAAAGCTAGCTACACCCCCATTACCATCGGGTTTCTCTCCCCCGGTGAACTACATCCAATTTACAATTGTAGGTTCATTAAGTTGCCACTTGCCAGAGATGAGACATATTAATCCCTCTAAACACATTTAAATATTAAAAAAGGAAACAAGATGAGAAGAAGAAAATAAATATAATTTATCCTCAGAATCTAACAAAAAAAACTCTTTTTCATATGCCAGATCATTTGCAACGCAAAATCAACATAGCATTGCAGTATCACAGGGAAACCAAAACAACAGTGTACACTAAAAAGTTTTGGATAAAATATTACCTCATCAACTGCATTGTCAAGCAGCTCTGCAATTGCTGCGAGCACAAGGCAACAAATAAGATGTTATTGGAGATTGTAGGAATTCTAAAATGCAATATATTGAAGTCATTGGGCGTAAACAGAATTCAATAAGATTAGACTAGCAAATTAAAAAAGTAGAACATACCGCCAAAGGCCCATTTATGTGAAGTAGCATTTGAATGAAGGAACTTGGGGTGAATGTGAAGATAACTATTGCCATCTATAAATAAAAAAGAAAGATGTAAGAGTAGAATAGATCATGCAGATACAAAAATGTTGGATGGACACGAGGGTCCACAGGAAACATCCAACTGATAGCCGATTACTTTGAAATGCACATGCACCAAAAATCAAGATATATTATTTGATAGCAGAATACTTTGAAATGTGGATTTAGAAGCAAGCCCATCATCATAGTTCCCAGCATTCCAAAATTGCCGACAAAGTGGTGCTGAACATATAGTTGACATAGAAGAAAGGCTTGTATTGTTGATTGGAGACTGCTCCTGATCAGTGGTGCCACTTTGACCACTACTTATAGCATTTGAGCTTCTCTTTTCTTCAGAACCTTGTCTTCTAGGATGGGCTTCAAGCTCACAATGCTGGGGAAGATCAGTTTTATGGTACTCTTTATGTTGCACTGAGCCCCCAAGCAAATCCGGCTCTAGTTTAACAGGTTTCACATCCAACTCTCTGAGTTCATCATCACTACGTAAGTTAACAATGTTTGTCGAGCTCATTTCCAGAACTGAAAAAAGATAAAAGAGTTCAGGTAGCTAGGTAAAAAATATTGAACAAAGAAATGGGAAGCAGAGTAACCATAAAAAAACACACGTGAGCAATACATCAACGGGCAAGCAAGATAATCAAAAATTTAAATACTAATGACGTGGAGAAGATAAACCCTCACTCTCTTTGTGTACAATTTTCAGTGTGTGTGTCTCTCTCTACCCACTCCAAACCCTAAACGCCCTTATATATATCGGGCTACAAGAGAGTACTAATTAGGGTCCACGACCCGCAAGCAAAATGGCCACACAAAGCTCATCTAATGGGTCGTCGAGTTGAAAGCGGGTCGTATTGCGACCCGGCACCAAATTTGGGCCACAACATCACACAAGCAGGCACGGTCCTACCTGTGGACCAGGGGGGGCGAATGCCCCCTCTGAAATTTTTTTTTTTCCTATTATATATTACACTTTTTTTTAGAATATATATCATGCCCCCCCTGAAATTTCACAAATACCCCCATTATTAAGTTCCCAAAATATATACTGGCCCATCGACCTTTTCTCCATCGACCTTTTCTTCTCGTTGTCAGAGCTTCTCTTTCATCCTCGGGACCTCGCCTAGCCCTTATCCGGTCGCTTCTCTCTTCAGTCTTCACTGCTATTATTCCACAACTTTGGTCTCTGATCTCTCAACTTTTACACTGCAAATCGAAGGTATTTCAACTGATCTTCTTCTTTTTTTATTGGTTCTCAAATCTCAAGAACTGATTATTTGCTCGATTTTGGTTGATTTATCATTTGTGTTAGATTTCTGTTTAAAATGAGAATTGATCATTCGTTTTCAGCCTGTAATCTAAATTCGTATGTTGTTTACTGCTTAATCGTTCTTGATTTTGTTAGTGTGATTTAGGTTATGTAACTTATGTGCCTTTTCATGCTCTTTCTCGTCTTGAAACAATTAATTGACTAATTAATGTGTTAATTGCTAATACAACAACAAAGAAATATATATAATGAAGATTCAAGAATCGAAGATCTGTTGTGTTCACTTTAATTTTTTTATAAATTACTTTTATATAATAAATCAAAATAATACATTATGAGCACCCACCGTCTCAAGAAGCCACAATGAAATTAGTGTTTATATACTTTTTACTTTAATAATAATAATAATATATAGAGAGAGTCAGACCGTCATTAACTTAAAAGGAATAGCTGTAAGTCTCAACTGGCTAACAAAATATTATGTAAACTCTGTTATATGTACATAAGTTTGTGTGTCAATCAATGTGGGAAGAAAACTAACATCCATGAATGTGTTGAATTGTTCAGATAGGCAATGCATATGTAAACTATGAAACAGAATACACAGGATTAGAGACGGAGAGAGAGTACATGATTTTATTGCCTTATAATTATATATCAGTCTTTATAATTTTTTTTTCCCTGGAAATATCAGTCTTTAATGGGCTTTCTCTCTCTCTCTGGACGACACACACATGAGTCACATGACACATTTACATTTCAGTCTGTCTAGTTTTATGCTTTATTTACATTTTTTCATGCCTTGCTTTTTTCTATCTAGCTTTCTTTTATTTTATTTGTACCTTAACTTTAGTCCATTAATTGCACCTTTAATTAATTTCATTTACTTTCATTTAATGTAATTTCTTTTATTAGCTCCCAACCTCTTGCAATTCTATCTTATAAGAAATTAATAAAATTTATATTTCATTAATTTTTCTACTCCATTTGAATATATACACACATACATGTATACAAAACTTAGTTGCTTTGTATTTTCAATTGAGGAGGCATTAAATGATACTGGGAGTCTGGGAGTGTTCAGTGTTGCAACTTACAAGATTAAGTTCTTTTGTATAGGTACTCCCTTTGGTTTATTTTTTCTAATAACAATGCATATGCAATTTCTAAATGTTTAATTTCTTTTTTTATTTTTATTTTATTACAATGCACAACAACACAGGCGCACAATCTATTATAATATGCAATTTTTGAATGTGTTTATTTTGTTGATGGGAAATTGATCACTAAGAAACCAAACTAAAATGTCGTCACTCTCTATAGGAAATTGATCAGTAATGGACAAATTTGTGACAAGAGGGTTGCCACCATCTCTAAGAAGAGATGATGGCTCTTCAAAGATAAGTGATGTAGAGATCAACCTTGAGGATCTAGCTGCAGATCCTGGACTACGAACTCCGATATTGAATTACCATCCCGATATTCGAGATCAAATTCGGAGAGCATATTTACTAAAGGGTCCTTGCCAACCTAAAAAATATCATTTTCCTTATAAGAGTTATGGGCAATGCTTACGACGATTCAACCCGGCATGGTTTGATGCCTTTTCTACTTGGTTAGAATATAGCAAAGATAAAGATGAAGCATATTGTCTATGTTGTTATCTTTTTAAACCAAAAATCGGAGAACAATCGGGTGGTGATACCTTCGTGAGTGAAGGATTTTATAATTGGAAGAAGGGTTTGGAAAAACTACAAAGCCACATTGGAGGTCCAAAAAGTGCCCACAACCAATGTTCGAGTATGTGCCAAGCATTAATGAAACAAAAACAACACATTCAATCAATTTTCTTCAAGCAATCAGAGAAGACACGAATTGCATATCGAACACGATTGATTGCATCAATTGATTGTGTTCGACATCTTTTGCGACAAGGTCTTGCATTTCGTGGTGACGATGAAACTGAGGATTCAAGCAACCAAGGGAATTTTCTCGAGACATTGCGATTTCTTGCGAATCATAATGAAGACATTAATGCGGTTACATTGCAAAATGCTCCTGAAAATCACAAATCAACGGCACCTAAGATCCAAAAGGACATTGTTAATGCCATTGCATTGGAGACTCTCAATGTTATTATCGGAGATATTGGTGATGCTTTTTTTTCTATTCTAATTGATGAATCTCGGGACATATCAACAAAGGAGCAAATGGCTTGTGTTTTACGGTATGTGGACAAGAATGGGCATGTAGTTGAACGTTTTGTGGGTCTAGTGCATGTTTCTGATACCACTTCCATCTCACTCAAGAAGGCGATTGATGCTTTATTTTCTAGACATGGGTTGAGCATTTCTAGATTACGAGGGCAAGGTTATGATGGGGCTAGTAATATGCGAGGTCAGTTCAATGGTCTCAAAACTCTCATCTTGAAGGAGAATGAATGTGCTTTTTACATTCATTGTTTTGCCCATCAACTCCAATTGGCTCTCGTGGGTATGGCAAAAAAACATGAGGATATTGTTTCTCTCTTCACTTTTGTTGCTAATCTTATAAATATAGTTGGTGGTTCATGTAAACGTTGTGATATTCTTCGAGAGAAGCAAGCTTCTATAGTTACCGAGGCACTTAACAATGGTGAGCTTTCAAGTGGGCAAGGCCTAAATCAAAACACTTCTCTTAAACGAGCTAGTGATACACGTTGGGGTTCACATTACGACACTTTGATTAGCGTGACTATTATGTTTTCAGCTATTGTTACTGTACTTGAGACACTTGCAGAGGATGGGTCATCAGAAAAAAAGTTTGAAGTAAATCTTTTATTGGAATTTATACAATCCTTTAACTTCATATTTTGTTTGCATTTGATGAGAGCTGTTTTGGGAATTACAAATGATTTGTCAAAGGCACTTCAAAGGAAAGATCAAGATATTGTGGTTGCTATGTCCTTGGTCAAATTAAGTAAGGTCCAATTACAAAGGATGAGGGAAAGTGGATGGGATTCTTTACTCAACGAAGTTTCTTCTTTTTGTGTGAAACATGACATTCCTATTCCTAATATGGATGATACATTTCTACCTCGAGGAAGACTACGACGTAAAGCTCATGACAAGTCAAACTTGCATCATTATCGTGTTGATTTGTTTTATTCCATCATAGATATGCAACTTCAAGAGTTAACTAGTCGTTTTTCTGAAATGAGTTCCGAGTTGTTGCTTTGTGTGGCTTGTTTGTGTCCGGATGATTCATTTTGTGCTTTTGAAAAGCAAAAACTAATCCGCCTTGCTCAATTTTATCCCAAAGAATTTTCTTCACATGCTCTCATGAGACTTAGTGATCAACTTGAGAATTATATTGCGGATATGCGTTCTAATTGCGAGTTTGAAGGATTAAAAGGGATTGGTGACCTTGCGAAAAAAATGGTGGAAACCAAAAGAGACAAGGTACATTCACTAGTTTATTTGCTTGTGACATTAGCGTTGATCCTACCAGTTGCAAATGCTAGTGTAGAGAGGGCATTTTCTGCTATGAATATCGTAAAGAACCGATTGCGCAACAAAATGGGAGATGAATGGATGAGTGAGAGCTTGATAGTATATATTGAAAAGGAGATATCTAGTGGCATAGATAATGAAGTTATCATACAACGTTTTCAAAATATGAAAAGTCGTCGGGGACAATTGTGAATGTGCTCAATGATTCAATGAACGAAAAAAATATTTTTGCTTATTATGATGATCTGAATTGTAAATGTGTTCAATGGGATCCTTTTGTTGTTTTTGGGACGCGTTCCCCTTTTGAACGCCTTTAATGAATTTGCTTAATTATTAAAAAAAAAAAAAAAAAATTGTTATTAAAAGGACGCCCCCCCTGACATAATTTTCTGGGTCCGTCACTGCACACAAGGAGGGTTTTTCTATATAGGAGAAGAAATTATGAGAATGGAAAGAGATAAAAAATAGGAAACAAGGAGGATTTTTCATCACCGATTCCTCTAGTAACAGTAAATCTTCAAGAATAGGAAACAACATCAATTACCGGAAGATTTTCCTCCACTGATTCCTCCATTAAATCTTCAATATAAACTAATTGCTATCATAACCAAGATGAAATGAAAGTTTGACCCATGAAATTAATATTTCTATGTTGGGTTTGCAGCTCAAAATTCGTGTACAAAAATTACTTTCCTTTTTCGTTTTGGAAGACTGAAATTTGTGGAGGAAATTATGTCTCATTAGGTTTCTATTTTAGAGTT